ATATATAATAAAGCTAAATTAGTATAATATATACTATATAGAGAATTACAACTAATATTACTACTAGAAAGAGTATAGTAAACTATTACTATAGACCTTATTGTTAAACTACTAAAGTTAAAGAAACTTATAATAGAAGTAACTTATAATAGCATTCTAGTTATAGTAGATAAACTTACAAAATATACCTACTATATTTCTTATATAGAATTAAGCAATATAAAGAACTTAGTATATATATTCTTTAAAATAGTTATTATATAATACAGCTTACTAATAAAACTTATATTAAATTAAGATAAGTTATTTACATTAAACTTTTAGAAATACTTTATAGAGACTATAAAAATTAAGTAAAGTTTATTAATAGCATTCTACTTATAATTAAATAGATAGACTAAGATCTTAAACTAGATACTTAAATAATACTTATAGAGCTATATAAACTACTAATAGAATAATTAGGTAGAATAGCTACTACTTGCATAATAAGCTTATAATAGTTCTAAGATTAATAGCATAAAAATATTACTATTTAGAGCAAACTATAAATTTAACTCTACTATTAAAATATATATAGTATAGAATATATATACACTAGTAGCTATAATGCATATAGAATATATAATAATAATATAGAAGTAAATTTAAGAATAGATATTTTTATAGAACTAAATAAAATATTATATAGATAAAAAGAGATTGCTAGCGCTAATTCTAGAGGAGAGATATAAAGTATACTTTATTTGCAAAAACATTAAAATAAAGCAACCTAGCAATAAACTTAACTAGAAGAAAATTAGACTATTTCTTATTAAATAGAAAATATTAAATACCAACTACAAATTATTATTACTAGATAGAATAAGAATTTATTCTATATTTTATATATTATTATTAGAAAAAGCACTAGATAATTCTATAATTACTATAAATATTATAACAAAAAATACACTAGTAGCTATAATGCATATAGAATATATAATAATAATATAGAAGTAATTATAAAGAGAATAGATATTTTTATAGAACTAAATAAAATATTATATAGATAAAAAGAGATTGCTAGCGCTAATTCTAGAGGAGGGACATAAAGCATACCTTATTCGCAAAAACATTAAAACAAAGCAACCTAGCAACAAACTTAACTGGAAGAAAATCGGACTATTCCTTATTAAATGGAAAATCAAACTAATATAGAATTTAACTTATCTAAAGAAGCAGAAAGAATACTAGTATTCTTTTAAAGCTATTTAGCTTTCTTACGCTCTATATATTCTAACTTTTTAATATTATTAATACTATATATAACTATATATATTATTTTCTTAAACTATAATTTCTTTTGTTTCTATAAACACAAGACCTTTTAATTCTTAGCTAGAGCACGCTTCTTAGCCTCTTTAAGCTCTCTCTTAAGCTTATAATATTAATCTATAATACTATAAAGCTGTTAAGAGGTTACCTCTATAATATTATAATTCTCTTGCTTGTCTACTATATACTTTACGCAATAACTTAAATTAGAAATAAAGGCTTTATATTAGGGAAATTCTATATAAGCGCAGCAAGCATAAGCCTTTATAAGGGATAAGAACGAATTGTTAATTATTACAGAAAAAAAATTATTCTAACAAAGAGAAGAAGCAGACAAAGCCTTAGACTGCTGTTTTGAGATATAGTTAGCTAATATAGTAGCACACAATAATAAAAGAAGGAAAACGCACAATACTTAGCCGGCCTATTTTAATAGCCTTAAGGACAAGACTAGCAGAGGAGAGGCATAATATTATAAATATTACTATATAAAACATAGAATAGAACTGCACTAGTAAGAACAAGCACAACCTATAGGCATAAGAAGAAGGCAGAGGCATATAACTAGCTATATAACCTAGAAAGTAATTAAAGAGGTTAATATTTAAATATATTAACTAAGGAGAATTAAACTAACTAAACCTTAAGCTATTTAATTAAGGCTTAAAGAGATTAATAAATAAGCTAGTTAATTTAGTCTATAATAAAGAGATAGATAAGTACTTAAGAAGGAGGTATATTTTATAGTTAAATAGTCTAGATCTCTATTAATTAATCTAAGTAATAGTTTTACTATTAAGAGTTATACTCTTAACAGCTTTATTATAATACTACTTAATAGCTACTCTATAGCATTTAACCTAACTTACTTCCTAAGAAACAGACCTACTATGTCTTAGAACCTAAGCTACTATTATAATACTATAGAATTTAACTACAGCTAGTAAGGCTAGTAATAACTATATATATATAGAAATAAGTAGTCTTTATAAAGTAGCTAGCTTAAGTACTAGTTATATAGCTTTATAGCTAT